AAAATTATGGATAATGGAAAAGGAGTGCATATAAAAGAGCAAATTTCATCAGCTTTACTTTAGGTGTCAGTTTCAGATGTCAAGAGGTCCTGAGAACAGGGCCTGGGATCTAACATTTGAATGCTTCTTTAAACTTATTCTTGATTATTTGTAGGAAAGGAGGTTACACAGCCAGTTTCTAACTTGTTCTTTTACTCATTCTTTCATACATTTTAAGAATATTTACAGAATAATCTTAACATGTTAATTAAGCACCAAAGATACAGACACGCATGACACTCATTCCCTCTCCTATATAGGAGCTCAGACACGTGTCAAAATAACTATAACATAATATGATAAGCATTTTAATAGTCACAAGCAGACAGTCTTTTTGGAACACAAGTTTGCTGGGGGTGGGAATACGAGAGGGAGTCCAGAGAGTATCACGTAAGCTTCAAGCAAAGTAAAAGCTCTCTACCCTCTTTCAAGGCTGAATCATGCAGATATCTGGCCAAGGGGAGAACATTTCACCCAATACAATTATCCTCTTGGTTTCACTCAGGTGGCAACAGAACTCAAAGCAAAGTCCACAAAATAAAGCCAGTAACCAAAAGGAAAATAAAAGAAGCAACTTTGGGCAAACAAGCAGAGAAGTGAGCAGGGTCTACCCATTTGGCTCAGGAAAGCGCAACAGTGGGTTACACAGGAGGATGACGGGAATTCGGGCCTGAACACACGCAGGGACACTCACCCATATGCACACACCCATTATGTCATCCTTCTCCGTCAGGGCAGCACGCTGGCTCAGAGCTTATCTCTGAACATTTGGAAACATTTACCTTCCTTTAATTTACTGAATGAATCTGAAAGTGTCTGTGGATGTGTCCAGATTGAAGGCAAGCAGTGTCCCAGCTGGGAAGGGAGGTGCGAAGGCCCCCCGCTGAGTGTGGGCCGATGGTTGCCGCAAGAGTCGCCCCACGTGAAGGCGAAGACCGACCAGGGATGAGAGGCAGAGGAAGTTCAAGGGCAGAAGGTCTTCTTCTCCCTCCACAGAAGGAAGGCACCATCGGAATGCGTACTCTCACACTTGCTTATGTTCTTCCTGCCTTAGCTCTAAAGGGACTCAAGGAATTCAGAGTGAGTGAAATAAAATGAGACGAGGGATCGAGAGCTTGGCAGATGCCAAGAATTTTCCCCGACCTCTGAGGCCTGGGGTTCTGGGGATGTAGCCAAGGGGGCTTCGTGTCCTTGTTTTATCTGCACTCAATTGCCCATCCCAGCCGAAAATGAGAAAGCTCTGTGCTGGTTTCAAGACGCATTTCATTTGCTGAAATCCAACAGACTGAGTCACGGAGACCTCAATTCATTTACACATTTATTTTAAGCACCTATTCAATGGTAGGCATTTTGCTAAAGCAAAGTGCCTGGAACTGCTCCTAGCTTGCTGGGTGGTAGGTGGGGGCAGTGGGAACGGAAGAATAAACACAGTGCTCAAGGGGGTCAGCCGGTGGCTTTTGAGCCGAGGCCACCAAGTGGACCAAGGATGGACACAGAATAGCACTCAAGGCTGAGGGGACAGCATGTACATCCTCGTGGATGCACAGCCCCGCAGGCCTGTTTGGGGGGCAGGGGGGTGGGTCTTGGGGGTGGCTCTCACTTTCAGGATCATTCAAGTCTAGAAGTCTGAGGTTTCTGTAAGGCTGGTCTCCGGGGAGTTGAGAGTATTTTTCTCTTCCTCGTCCTTTACCCAAGTGACCCCGTTCTTTCAAAAGCCTGCTATGCCACCGAAGAGAAACTTTCATCTAGGTTTATTAAGTGGTGAGCAAAAATAATACATGTGTCATCAAACAATTAAAATCCAGAGTTATTTAGACAGAGTTGAGATCAAGCAAAAAAAAAAAAAAAAATCACAGGACAGTTAATGTGGTGCTTAATGATAGACATTATTACCGCGTTCTCTGTTAATTAGATATAAATGCTATTTTGTTCCCATAAATGACAACAATGACTGGGCAGGGCTAGATGTGTCTCAGAGACTTCTCAAGACTGGCCAGACGTTCCTATTTGATGTCTACAAGGAAGGGGTCGAGTTGAGGAAGGGAGGGTCTCTGTGGGCTCCAGATACATTCTTTTGCTTGAGGAAAAGGTAGTTCTTTCCCCTCAAAGCTTATCCATATGCAGTCCTGAGCCTGAAGACAACTTTTGGGACCCTTCAGTCCCTGTCAAGAAAAGAAAGTCTAACCCAGCACTGAAGGACTGTAGAGGGACCCCCATTTTCTCCAGCCCACAGCCCCTCACAAAGGCAGCCCTAGGACGTCTGCATTCTTCCTGCCCCTCTTCCAACTCTTGGACCTAAAGCACAGAGGATTTCTAGCAACAGGGTAAATGCAGGCTGACCAGAGGGTGCTCTGCCAGCCCAGGAACAGAGCATTCCAGCTTGCCCGGGGTGGGCCTGGGGCCTTTCTTTGGCTTGGTGTCAAGGGGGACGGCACCCTTCTCTCTTAGCTATTCTTTTGTGGGTTTAGCTCGTATTCTTATTTGATGCTCGTCGCCTTTCACTACCTTTTGTTGTAGACCTGGGGTTGCACGTGAACTTTATGTAGCCAGAAGAGGCTTTCTGGAGCCATTTAGATGTCCGCGAGTGATGGCTCTCTCAGCCACAAGTCAGCGAGGCAGAGATATCAATTTGAATTCTGGGCTTCCAATCAAACATGCAGAAAAGGACACTGTACCCTTTGAAAGTTGCAAAATAAACAGAACTTGGGCCTGGGAAGCAAATGTACTTCTGATTACTCTGAACTGAAGTTCTGGAGAGGACGGTATAGTCAGTGATTCCAACAACTTCAGGGAGGATAATTTCAGGCAAGAGCACAGAGAACAAATACAGTGATATCAAAGCAGCCCTTGTAACATCAAATTCCTATGAATCTACTCACATCCTGGGGAATGTCTGTCCCGATCTTTTAGCAATTATCATCTGCAAACCATGCCGCCCTATAGTCTGAATGGTTTTCGACAATTAGTAAGAATCCATACCCACGTCCTTAGAAGTGTTTGTTTTTCTTCCATATCATCAGGTCACAGACACTCAAAGCAACACTAGGAAAACACGTTCCTCCAGCGGAAAGAGCCCACATTTCATCTTCCTTCCAAGTCATGACACCACTCTACATGTACATTTCTGAGTCTCAGTTAACTGTAGTTTCATCACTGTATCCTTTAGAACTTTGCTACTTGAGAACCAGAGGCATCAGCATCACTTGGGAGCTTGCTGGAAAAGCAGACTCTCGGGACCTTCCCCAGACCGGCCGAATTAGCATCTGCAATCTCCTGGCATTTCACCCTACAGTGTTCTCACGAAAGACAATGTGAGTCTCACAAATCTGTAATCTACCAACAAAGAAGATGCTTTTGCATAGGAAACTCAAATACGACAGGACATATGTGGACATAAACAATGTATTAATACTAATAAATGTCAGCATGCTTACTAAATGCCAGACCAGGAGGTAGATACTGCCCTCTTCATGTGTTGGAGGCACAGGGTGCTTATCTAACCTGCACAAGATCACACAGAAAATCACACAGTGGACGAGGCAGAATTTGAATCCAGGTGGTCTGACTTCCGAGGGCATGTTTTTAGCCATTACACTCCACCCGCTCCTGGCGGTGTGCACTTGTACTCAGGAAATGAAACAGCTCTGATTCAGGGCCTGGAAGAAAAAGCTAGGTTGCTGTAAGGCCCACCATTGCAGGCTCAGTCGCATTTAGAAGCAGAGACCACGTGAGCCGGAGATCAAAACCTCTAACAGAACCCTCCTGGGTCTGATCTGAGGTCAGCGAGGCGCAGAGAGGGCGTGTGGGACCCTGTGGTCCTCCCGATGGGGTGGAAAATGGGGGCCAGACAGGTCTGAGCCCCTACTGCACTTCCCGTCATGCTCCCCTGTCTCTTCCCCGCCGTGTCCTACGTCTCTTGGGGTTTTGCTCTTCCAAAGACCCCTCCCACCCATCAGATAACCAAGGACAGCTGCTCCTTTCTTCACTTTCATTGAAAATCTGAGAACATCTGTTCTGCTTGAATAAGTCATTTTGGGTCCTATCTGAAACCTCCTCATTAAAAAAAAAAAAGTCCAGTCCAGGAAGGCTGTGCTTTTACGTCACCCGTCAGTAACTCTTCAGCTAAACGACATAGAAGGTGTAACAGGAAATTTCAGAGGTGATAACCAAGAACGCTTCCTTTTTGAAAATAAAGCCTGCCAGCAACTGGGCATTAATTAAGATGGCGTTTTAGTCTGGGCTCCCAAGAGTCATGTACCTGCCGGGGTCTCAGCTCCACTCATACATTTAGAGGTGCAAGAAGGGTGGCAGTCCAGGCCCAAATTAACATGGCTGTGGAATCTGTGCCTATCTAAAGTGCCTATTGCTAACCAAAGGTTCTTTCTGGCACAGGTGAGCACCCCACAAAGATGTTCTCAGGCCCCAAGTGTTTGCAGAGTAGGGGGGCAGGGAGTTGCTGGAACAGACTTCACAAGTCCAAAGAGGCCGAAAAACTCTTCCTGTTTAAGGTACAACTTTGCTATAAAAGGCACTGAACCACTTTCATTTGGAAGCCTGCCCCATTTGGTGGGAGGCAAGATTAAATACACCCTGCCCTTAAAACGCCACCCTTGCCCTTGTGATGCCAACAGTTTCTTGATGGATCTGGCCGGGCCTTTTTCATAACCTCCACTTCAGAGGTAAGGAATGATTGTTGAGTCCCCTTTGAGGCACATGGTGGAAATATAAACCACTTAATACTTGAAATGTCAGACTGCGCCGTGGAAGATGTTCTAAGATCAAAAACACAGAGAGGACTTAACCTGCCCTATTTTAGCCCACTTGTCCCAGAGCTCATGGTTCCGTGCTCCGTGGGCTGTGGGGAGGTAAGAGGCCATGGCCTGGCCAAACACAATGGAGTGGGCAGTTCCAGACTGATCACCCAGAGAACGTGCTACAGACACCCAGTCCAGGGCACTTACCTTGCACTGCCCAGACACGCAGATGGCCGTGCCATTCTGGTCACAGGGGGTACCATCAATGACCTTCTCAGCTTGCCGGACGTAGAAGCGGTAGCCCATTGCCTGGCAGTTCAACTCACACTTTCGGTTGCCCTTTACTACCAAAAAAAAAAAAAAAAAAAAAAGCATCTTTTTGCTTCCGGTATTCCTTACTGAGATAAAATTCACATAACATAAAAATAACCATAATAACCAAAGTGTACAATTCAGTGATTTTTAGTATATTCCCAATGTTGTGCAACCATCACCACTAACTAATTCTAGAGCATTTCTATCACCCCAAAAAGAACCCCTGGACTTGTTCACTGTCACTCCTGGCCCCATACTTTGGCAACCACCAGCCTATTCTATTTTCTTTCTCTGGATTTGCCCATTCTGGACGTTTCATAATCACATGCTTTTATTTATTTATTTATTTATTTATTTATTTTAAAATTTTATTAATGTTATGTTAATCACCACATATTACAACATTAGTTTTTGATGTAGTGTTCCATGATTCATTGTTTGCGTATAACACCCAGTGCTCCATGCAAAACGTGCCCTCTTTAATACCCATCACCAGGCTAACCCATCCCCCACCCCCCAGAACCCTTAGTTTGTTTTTCACAGTCCATAGTCTCCCATGGTTCGTCTCCCCCTCCGATTTCTCCCCCTTCCTTTCTCTACACCACACACATTTTTATTTTTTTAAGATTTTATTTATTTGAGAGAGAGAGCACAAGGAAGGGAGAGGCAGAGAGAGAGAGAGGGAGAATCAGACTCCCCGCTGAGAAGGGAGCCTTACAAGGGACTCGATCCCAGGACCTCGAGATCAAGATCTGAGCTGAAGGCAGATGCTTAACTGACTGAGCCACCCAGGCACCCCATAATCACACACTTAAAAAACTGCATTGAAGTTATGACATCTCCCCATATTTGATGGTTGAGGGAAGAGATTGGGTCTTGATCTCCTGGCATATAGTAGAGATTCAATGCTGAGCAGGTATCATAAAGAGATTCTTAAGGAATCTCACAATGCAAATAATAGACTCTACTTTTAGAAATCCTCCCATGCTTTAACATAGTCGTGATTATATCTTACTTATCAGCAATTGCAGTGAGCACACAATTTTTATATTCTGCTTTAAAAAATTTTTTTTTTACTGAACATCTACGCAGTTATATCACTTTTATGCTCTGTCAAATGGCCGGAGTTTCCTGTAATCATTCCTCCATTATGAGATATTTAAGTGGTCTCCCCATCACCTTAGATGGAAGTCCAAAGTCCTCAGCAAGAGATAAAACATCTCTCAAGAGCTGAACCTTGGCTACCTTCACAGTTTCGTTTCCTACTGTTCATCCTTAAATCCTTGTTCTGTTCCCAACTAAGCACTTCCTCTGTCCGGCTATTGCTTAGCTGTTCCTTCTGCCTTTGCCTCATTTGGCTGGTACCTGTTTCTACTTGGATTTAGTTCCCAGGTCACCTCCTCTAGGAAGCCCTCCGTGGATACACCCACCCATCTAATCTGGCCCCCTCTATGATAAGATTAACCAAACATGAGGGACCACAGGGATGCATCTGTCGTATTTACTCTTGTATCCAGTACAGAGATGGGTACGTAGAAAATACTCTAACAACCCCTGAGGAATAAAAGGTGGATGAATAAATATTGGCCTTTTTTTTTTTTTTTTGGCTTTCTCTCCTCTCCCCCGACCGATATATTCCCCTACAGAGTCTTTCTATTTCTGTTACATCACACAGAGCCTGGCACACAGTCAGTGCTTAATAAATGTTAAATTAATTACTGCTACAACCAATACCTTCAGAGCAATTTAGCTGCCTCCAAAATAAGAATGAGAAAATTTTTCAGGCGAGATATATTTCCATATCCAAAACAGACAGACAAGCCAAGTACACACTGATTTTTTTTTTTTTATTAACTGTTTTTGGAGACAAGACGAATGCAGTACTCAGCCATAGACAGCATGTTCCAGGGTCATGCCTTTGTCTGAAAATCTGATTACTGGATTGGATAACACTGACTTTTTCCTACACAACACAATACATCATATTTTCCCCAGTGTGGCTGCCTGACTGTCATAGCAATGAACTTTACTCCAAAGCCATTGAAAACCGCTAACAGGAAATAACATGGAGCCTCTGGGACCACAAGGTTTAGGGAACACTGAATCTTCTAATGTACTCTGAGCTCTGTCTTAGAAGTCAAGAGACAGTGTTTCTTACTCTGGCTGCCCAAAAGATATAAGAGGCGATCTTGGGAAAAATCAAAAAATACCAAAGATAGAAGCACCTTTGGGACTTATCTAAAACCATCTTTTCATAGATTAAAAACACAACACCACAGCGGGCCTAAGAAAGGAGGTGACAAGGAAGGGGTAAACTAGTCTCCAAAGCTTGCTTTCTCAGGTCATCTATCTCCCCAGACTCTGCTTCCTCCTTCCCAGCCCCTCACTTCTGAGGTGACAGCAGGAACTATCCACTGGGCATTGTCTTTTACATAATAAAAGTGTCTGAAAGGCAGCCTCACATGGGGCAAGGGTTTGGAGTTCTCACTTCTCTTGGCTTTGGGATACTATCTTTTGCAGCCACAATTTTATTTCTCAATATTCGCAACCGTATGACAGAAAAACATTCTGAGAACAAAAAACCATGGCTGAATGTGAGACAGTTATGGCAGAATCTCTGAACAGCTACATGAAAACAACCTGGAGGACTGGCCTTAAGTCTGGGCTCCTCCTCCCTGTGGTCCAAACCAGCCACTAGGTCTGACCCTCTGCTTATATGGCTTAGACAGTGTCCCTGCCTTCTCAGACTTGAAAGAAGGAAAAAGGGGGCTCTAGCAAAGAACTGAAACCTGCAGACAAGGGGCTGCCTAACAGAACTGCCTAGAATCCTGCTGCCTTAGCAATACTCAACCTGGTGCATCTCATAAAAGCACACAAGGACTGACTTCTCTCGGCCCCGCATACACCCCCCAGCCACTTTAAAATTCCACATAATTTTATGGGCCTCAGATTAAGGTTTTTCATGGATAATCACTTGGTTCCTTTTTTATCCCCCATGAATACAATTACAATTCTCCTGCCAAAGACTCTTCTCTAAGCAGTTTTTATCAGGGTTTTATCAGTGCAGACAGAGGAGGAAAATAGAAGAGTGTCCACGAGCGGGGAGCAAGGGGCTGAGAGCAAAGTGGGCACATCCTTCTCTCCCCGATTCTCCTATTGCTCTCCCTCCCTGTTCTCATCTGCTTCCTAAATGTCCTCCCCACCCCCAAGAGGGACACTTTTCTATTCCACAAACTGAGGGGGTGATTCTCAGCGTATCCCAGGACTGGAAGCACAGCATCACCTGGGAACTTGTTGAAAATGCAAATTCTGGGGCCTCACCTCCAACTCTTACAGCAGAAATTCTGGCAAGCTGTATTTTAATAAGTGCTCGGGGTGATTCTGGGGCAGTCAGGTTTGGGAGCCACTGCTCTAAGGAAAATCAAGTACTGAGAAGGCTTGGAAGCAGCCGACTGTTCTTATTTTGAACATCTTCAAGATGTTCAAATTCCACACCTAAATTTCAAAGGTAATATAAGCACTATCTTGAACTACATTTAGAATATTGCCAGGTATCTGGATCCCTGATGGTAAAAAAAACCCCTCTTATCATTAAAAAAAATGCTGCAGATTACACAAGAAAATTCAGGTGACTTAGAATAAAGCAGCTAACAGCAAATCTACTCTCAAGAACAGGTTAAATATTTAAATCACTCACTGAACTGTGTTCCCTTGGAAAACCCACTGATATAAAGACATTTTTAAAAAAATGATTTTATTTATTTGAGAAAGAGAGAGTGAGAACACGAGTGGGGGGAGGGGCAGAAGGAGAGGGAGAAGCAGACTCCCTACTGAGCAGGGGGAGGGCTGAGCCATGCAGGGCTCAATCCCAGGACCCTGGGATCATGATCTGAGCTGAAGGTAGATGCTTAACCAACTGAGCCACCCAGGTGCCCCAAGAGTAAAGACATTTTTTAAGTGGTAAAGGACAAAGAAAATAGAAAAGGAGTTAACAGTTACAAAATTTTGGAAGGTAGGAAGCAAAAGGACCCATAGAAATGACATAGCAGACCCAAGAAAACTGAGCCTAAGCAGGAATTGAAGCAACGAAGCCACCTAGTATTGCTGCATCTCCAAGAGATAACTTTGGAAATAGGGCAGAAAGCAGGCCTAAAAACAGAAAAATCATCTGTAAGAAGTAGTCAGAGATTCCACTTTCCAGAATGGTTAGCTCAAAGCCTTTGAAAATCGACTCCTTCATAAAAGCAATGAGAACACTGTCAAAAGACAGCTGGGGAGGCTATCGTAATATCACACCAAATAGACTTTAAGATAAAAATGGTTACTAGAGTCAAATAATAGCATTTTATGATGACAAAAGAGTCAATCCATTAGGAAGACAACAACAGAGCCCCCAAAATACATGAAGCAAAAACTGAAAGAATTGAAAGGAGAAATAGACAATTCAACAATCATAGTTTGAAATGTTGATACCACACTTTTAATAATGAACAGAACAACTAGACAGAAGATCAGCAAGGAAACAGAAGACCTGAACAGCATTATACACCAACTAGACCTAACAGCTGTCTATAGAACATTCCACCCCATAACAGCAGAATACTCATTCTTCTCAAGTGTACATGAAACATTCTCCAGGAGGGGCCAAATGTTAGGTCATAAAACAAGCCTTAATATATTTACAAGGACCTAAGTCATACAAAGTATGTCCACTCATCACAGTGGAATGAAATTAGGAATCAAATGCAGAAAGAAATTTGGGGATTTCAAAAATATGTGGAAATTAACATACTTCTAAATAACTGATCAAGAAAAAAAGCACAAATAAAATAAGAAAAAACTTTGAGGTAAATAAAAATAAAAATACAACACATCAAAACATGGGATGCAGCCGTAGCAGTATTCAGAGGAAGATTTATAGCTGTAAACACCTATGTTAAAAAAGATCTCATATCAATAACCTAATCTCCCATGTTAAGTACCAGAAAAAGAACAGACTTAACCCAAAGCCAACAGAAGGAAGAAAGCT